GAGCATGCTGATCACACCTCATCCACACGCCGATCTTGACCATGCTCCCAAGCGACGGCACCGGCACCAGTGGCGCGCAAGGCGCGGCGGGAGGCCACGGCGGCGGAGGCGCGCCGAGGGGGTGGGTGCAAGCGGTGGCGGGGGCGGCGGGGGCGGGGATGGCGGCGGCTGGGATCGCAGTGGTGAGGCGGCGGCTCCGCTGGTGGTGAGGCGGTGATGCTGAGCAGGCAAGGTTGGGGGCTGGGGCGGGTGCGGTGGGCAGGCCGTCCCCCACTGATGCCACACTGCAGCGGCAGGAGCTCGACGGTGGTGGTCTAGAGCTCCGCCCATCGCGGGAGAGGGTCAGACGGGAGAGGGGCTGGCACGGCCGGCAGGACTGGCAGGGGAGAGGGGCTGGCACGGCCGGCAGGACTGGCAGGGGAGAGGGGCTGGCAACGGCCGGAAGGACTGGCAGGGGAGAGGAGCTGGCAACGGCCGGCAGGACTGGCAGGGGAGAGGAGCTGGCAACGGCCGGCAGGACTGGCAGGGGAGAGGAGCTGGCAACGGCCGGCAGGACTGGCAGGGGAGAGGGGCTGGCAGCGGCGGTCAACCCGGAGCAGTTGCAGCAGGTGCTCGGTGCAGCACGGCGCGGCCCGACACGACGTTGAACGTGGCGAGGTTGCCGGGCACCATGGCCGCCATCGACTTGAGCATGCGCTCGTGCGCGTCGCCGAAGCCGAGCAGCTGGAACGATGCAAGTCGGCCGAGCGTCGCGGAGTGCAGCGCCCGCATTGAAGCGGAGGCGTCGACGATGAGCACGTGATGGGCCGTGTAGCTCCGCCGCGGCGGCGAGCAGAGGTCGTCGGGCAGGCGGGACGCGAGCGCGTGGAGCGGCGAAAGCCTCGCCCGGAGCGCCTCCAAGCGCGCGTGGCCCCGCTCCAGCTGCTCGTCGTATCCCTCGAGGTCCGAGAGCGCGAGCAGTGCATCGCGCACCTCCGCCGCGGTGGAGTAGCCGCTCTCGAGCTGCTGCAGCATGCGCCGCGTCTCCTCGCTTGCGCCCTCGTCCTCCTCGCCCTCCTCCTCGCCCTCCTCGCCCTCCTCCTCGCCCTCCTCCTCGCCCTCCTCGACCTCGCCTCCCTCGGCAATCGTCCCGAGCATCGACGCGACCGCCCTCCGGGCGGCTGCGGCTGCGGTGTCGATGGTGTTGGCACCGCGGCTGGCGAGGTCGAGGAGGAGCCTCGGCGGCTGCACACCCTGGCTCGCCTCTCCAAGCGGCGGCGGCGGCGGCGGCGGCTCCTGCTCTGCCCCTGACACCTGCTCGAGGAGCTCGACTATCTCGGCGCCCTCGCCGTGCAGCTGCCGCGCGCGCGCCAGCGGCGTGAGGCCGCCGACGGCGATCGCCGGGTTCGCGCCTCCGTCCAGCAGCATCCGTGCCAGCTCGACGTTACCCGCCTCGCAGCTCACGTACAGCGGCGTGCCGCCCCCCTGCGGGGCCTTGTTGACCGAAAAGTGCGCCCTGAGCAGCAGCTCCGCCGCCGCCAGGTTTCCCCGCTGGCACGCCGCGAACAGCGGCGTCGAACCGTCCGCCGGCGACTGCCACGAGCGGATCTCGCGCTTGCGGACCAGTGACTTCTCCTTGTCAAGCCGCGCGAGCAGCTTCTTCAGCTGCCGCCGCGTGGCCGGCAAGGCCGGGTCGCCCGACGCCGCGTCGTATATCTCCTGCGCGAGCTCCACCGGCGGGGGCGCCTGCGGCGGCTTCCGCCCCTGCTGCTGCCGCTCCTGCCGCTCCTGCGCCAGCCGCTCCCGCCGCTCCTCCTCATCCCGCCGCTCCTCCTCCTGCTGCTGCTGCAGCAGCAGCTGCTCCTCCCGCTCCCGCTTCCGTGCTGCTGCCCATTCCAGCCTCCGCCGCTCCCGCTCCTGCTCCTGCTGCTGCTGCTGCTGCTGCAGAAGAAACTGCCCCTCGGCGGACGCGATGCGGGATGATTCCGCTGATCTGCTGCCCTCCGCGCACTGCCTGCAGCGTCGCAGGGCTGCGCTCCTTTTGAGTTGCGCACCCGAGAAGGCGTCGCGAGGCAACGCTTTGCCGCACGATGCGCACACGTGGCTTCGCTCGATGAAGTCGACGAGCGAGTCGACGTCCGCGTAGCGGCGGGCGAGCCATCCCAGGCCGTCCTGCAGCGGTGGAGGCGCCATCGTCCAGCGAACGGAATCCGTCACGCCCCGCTGGTTGGCGTACTCAATGATGTCATGCACAGCCTGCGTCGTCGGGATCGTGGGATGGCCGTGGCACGAAGCGCTCGATGTACGCCTGCAGCGACGGCGGCACAGCTGGGATGCCCTCGTTCGGTCCGACGTCACAGGGCGAATGCATGTAGCCTCCGCGGTCAAGCCTGAGCTCGTACGCGGAGTGCTGGCCAGCGGGCCAATCTGCCGAGTGCGGCCGATAAAACTGCCGCGTGACCCTGGCCGTCAGCCAGCCTGCCTTCCCGGCATGGACCTCGACAAGCGTGCCAACCGGAAACCGCAGCGGGCACGGGATGGGGATGTTGATGTCCTCCCCGGAGTCGAAGAGGTGCCTCTCCGTAACTTCGCCGGGCGGCATCGGGTGGCCGTGCGAACCGAGCGAGCAGTAGCAGGAGCACTCGCCAGAGGGCGCGGCCTGAGCGCGGCTGGCCGCCGGGTTTCTTTTTCTTTCAGCGGTAGAATTCTTTGAGTGTGTGTGTGTGTGTGTCTTTGAGTTAGATCGGGATGCGGCCGGCCCACAGCAACGGATGTTAGTCATTACAAGAAACAGGCTCGTGACAGGTGCCTGCCAAGCGGCCGTGGGCTCTCAGGTAGGCTCTGGGGTGCTCTGGGGTGGGTGCTCTGGGGCCACTCGGGACCGCTCGGGACCGCTCGGGACCGCTCGGGACTGCTCGGGACCGCTCGGCCTCGCTCGGGGGCGCGGCTGGGACATTTGCGGCCCGCCTCCGGCTGGCTGGGCTGCACGGCTGGGTGGCGCGGGAGAGGTGCTGCATGAGAAGAAATGGTAAACTTCTCATGAGATTAACAGCAAAAACAGCAAAGCACTAAGGAAACTGCGCCGCGACGAGAGGGGGGCACACCGGCCACGGGCCAAACACATCATACCTAGGCCCCTCGACCCTCCATACTGTACGCTCCTGGAGCCCAACCATGTGCGCCGCGATCTTCATGACCGCGGCAAGCAGGGTGAACGAGCCACGCCACGTAGTGCACAGAGCCATACGGTTGTCCACTACCTGGCCAATGAGGTGCTCCACACGCCCACGGTAGTGCTGCACCGTCTTGTTGAACCGTTGTGTCTCGAGGGACAGGTTCCGGCCCTTCCATTCTGTGATGATCTGCCGCTGCCCGACGTAAGCCTTAATTGTCCCCAAGACCATACTCCCACATGGCTTGTGATCCGCGCCTGCAGGAAGCTGGCCCAAGCGCCGCGCCCCCGCCCCCGTCGAACTTTAGCATCTAGGCCGTTGGGACACGGCTCGGGACCGCTCGGGACGGCTCGGGACGGCTCGGGACGGCTCGGGACCGCT